TTCCTTTACAGGTTTGGAACAGTATGAGGTTTGGAAAATGGTAATAGCATTTAAATTTAAAACAACTCTCTAAAATTAGGGTCTCAATGTGCACCAAATGATTCCTGTAATTTCAGCTCATTTTCAGATAGGAATATCTGGAAGAATTTAGGAGTAATTTTGACTTTAAAACTTTTAATGACCACTATATGCAGAAATCAATAGTAATTGTCCAAGGGTTCACATACTTTTTTCTGCATCTATATCAGTATATACGTGTGGGGAGAGTGGCTTGTCAAAAGTGTTATTCCCAGAAACTTGAGGCAAGGATGCAATACCCCACCTCTAAACTTTTGTTCACCCCTCCACCGCCCTCGTTTTTTATTCGTCCTCTTTATTGGAAACCAAGGCCGATTTGTCATTATCCGCTGCTGAAGTTGCAGTAATTACAGTCCCCTCATCATGCCTGTCCTGACACGCCATAATATAATTTCTGGAGATTAAATCATTTTGGCCCCAGCATTTAAATCACTTACAGTGTGTAAAGGGCCTCGTGTTCTTCTTTCTTTCTTTCTCTCTCTCTCCATCTTTCACAATCTCTTGCTCTTTTCCTTGGTTATATTTCCATGCAAACTTGCCAAACAAGGGCAAAAAGTGTGACTATAAATAAGATGAACTTGGTAGGTGAAATATCGAAAGGAGTAAAACCGCTTCCTCTAATACGAGATAAGGAATGGCCTCGTTCTCTCTCTCTCTCTTTCTCTATGTGTGTGTATATATTTATATATATATAGATAGATAGATAGATAGATATATTTATATAGATTTGTAGAATAAATCTTGTGTCTGTGCAAGAGAAAGATTGAGATTAGTTTTGGGCAGAAGCTCTTCTTAGACTAGTAATCTAGTTTGGCTGAGCCCCTGTGGGGCTCTGTAGATATCGCCTTGGCTTTAGCCATGTTCTCCAGCTAAGAGCTGTATGAGAAATCTTTCTATCCCTGGTGGTTTTCTTATTCCTCTGTTATTGAACTGCAGTTCATCCGCTTACTTCATAGGCTTTGCACCACTGCGCAGACTGCAGCGTCTGCATTAAGATGACAATCCCATCTCCGTCTAATCCAGATCGTCTCACATCCGAGTTAATTTCTCATTGGGTACAGCCCCATCATGGCCTTCCAGTGTTGCCCTTTCCCATTAGTCCTCAGATGACCTGAGATAATGAGTGTCTGGAGTGGCACTATGCCTTTGTCCACAATCTGTCATGTCCTTCCACAACCATGTCATTAGCAAGAATGGACATGTACATTTCTCAAGCCAGACATGTGACCTTGTGGTTTTGACCTTGTTGCCTGATTGCTGTCGAGTGGCAGAGGGCCTTTAGACCACAAGTGTTTGTTTTCGAGCAGGTCAGCTCATGTTTGGACCGAGTCCTGGTCAAGTGTGTCTGAGTATCGCCACTTCAGTACAGGAAATGTGTGTTAAAGTATTCAGCACTCACCTTTTGTACTCTTTCCCAGTAATTGCCATTCTTTGTGAGCTGATTTTGAATTTAAGAGGAATTTAATAAACTATTTGTGTCATGTAGTCTTGAGGATATTGAGGTAAAGAGCTAAAGTGCATGTCAAGCTTTCAAATACTAGGAAGCCGGTTTCTAAAGAGAGTGTTTTTAGATTTAGATCTGATTTTTACTTATAACCTATGAGTATTACCTTTCTTTTTGACTTTTTGACTTAACTTTGACTTGACTTAAATTGATAGAATATTTAATCATTTTTCAAATCTAAACAGCATTATTTGCACACTGAATCTCCTATGCTTACCTTGGTGTAAAGAGTAATATTGTGAAATATTATTACATTTTATAGCAGCTGTTTTTTTTATTGAATATATTTTAAAATGTAATTTATTCATGTGATGACAAAGCTGAAATTTAGTAGCCATTAATCCAATTTTCAGTGTCACATGATCCTTCAGAAATCATTCTAATATGCTGATTTGGTGCTCAAGAAGCGTTTCTTATTATTACCAATAGAGTTGTATTATTATCAATTAGGGCTGTGACGATAACCGCATTACCGCGGTAATGAGATGCCGACCGTGGTGTTGAAGTCATCACTGTCATCACCGCACTTTTTTTGCAAGGTATTTGCAGGAGGAAGCTAGAGGTCTGCATTCCAAATCTACATGACCAGATTTCTTGCGATGCGGGATTAAATTCCCGAACAAAGCACGGTAGCAGTCGGTAACTCTTGTGTCATTTGAACCGGAGCGGGCGGTCTAAAGGCCCGGACACACCAAGCCGACTTCAAAGAACTAGCGGCGACGAAACCCTACGGTGTTGTCGGCAGCGTTGGACCAAAAAGCTGCGCTCGAACACACCGCACAGACTACAGCCGACTGACGAGTGGAACACACCAAACAAACTAGCCTGACCATCGCTCGCCGTCGGCCCGACGATGGCCAACGGCCAACCGTCAGCTTGGTGTGTCCCGGCCTTAACAATATCCCGTTCCCGACGTCCTTTCAGAACAGCATATCTCTTTACTCACTCTTATTGACCACCGGTAGCCTGCACTCAGGACTGTTATGCTCGCGCTGCACGCACGGACCAGTGCTTTCTGCGTCATGTATTTTATTTGCGGGGTCTGTGCGTGCAGCATGTGCATAACGGTCCTCAGAGCAGGCTGTGACGGTGGTAAATATACGGCCCTCAGACAGAACAGGCAGGTTGTCGATGAGTGACAGAGCAGAATAAGGATGGCAAAGCAAAGTGTGGATGCACTGTCCTTGAAGGACGTTCAACTTGCACTGGAAAATGGTCAGTTTACTGCTAAGAAACCCACGTCAGGCAAGTCTGACTCGGGACATTCTTCTCAGGGATGTTAAATTCTTTGCTTAAAAAGTGATTTCATTTCGCAATGGCTACAAGCCAACAGTTTTGTTCATATTTTACTTATAATTTTAAATGACAAATGTTTTTTTTTTCTTTCTCTGTGACACTTTTTCCTATTGTGTTGACAGCAAAATGTAAAACTAATTTGAGTTTTACAAGACGAATAAAATAACAAATATGGCGATAAGCCACCAAACCGCATGATTTGTTGCTTCTTCACCGAGGTAAGAAAAAATCCCATACCGTCACAGCCCTATTATCAACTGAAAACAGTTATGCTGATTAATATTTTTGTGGAATCCATAATACAAAAGAACAGCATTTAATTTAAATAGAAATTTAATGCATCTTTGCTGAATAAAAGTATTTATTTCTTTAAAAGAAAAAAAAACTTGCTGACCCTTAACTTTTGAATGGGATTGTATATTGACCAATATTGGATATTTAATTTTTTACTTTATTTAGACAGATTAGTATAGAATTTTTGTATAAAATTGATTATTTATCAATTATAAAAGCAGTAGCATTTAAATTACGAAAAACAAAACCTAAAACCTGATTCCAGTCTGAAATTCTAGTAAAATTACAGTAAAATCATTGTTTTATCTCCATCTTTTTCATAGTGACAACAGCAATGTTTACCATATTTAGTGAATTATCTACCTTTTATTTCATCAATAATTATAATACATCATCATCAAGGAAACTAGAAAACGGCTCATTTGACTAGATAACTTTTTATATATAGCATTAGTAAGTGTTATAAATCAAACATCACCACACAAACCATGAGCCTGTTGTTTTTTATTATAGCCTTCATTAATAACTATCCCATATCTCAGTCGGTGACTCCGACTGTGAGCATGGACATTGAATTAGCAATCCTAGGGCCAGAAGTAATTATAAAGCGGCTGTTTTCTGACATCAAACATGACCAGTGTTATGCCTCTAATTTTGTTACCGCTAATAATACCAGTGTCAGTATTTAAAGCTACTCACTCATTTTTATTTGCTGCCTCCTGACACCTGACATCTCGTCTCCAGTCGGTGCGTCAACACCAGGAACCAGCCACACATTTATCCTTAATGAGTATATCTGTCCAGTGTAGCGGAAAAAGAAAAGAAAAATGAAATTCACACTGGACACAATTATAATAAATGGATGCAAATGTATTATGGTGGGGAAAAAAATACTTTCCTCTTCATCAGATAATATCTTTGACACCCCTGCAGTATATTATTAATGATTAGATTTAATATATGTTTTACTTTCTTCTTCCTGTCTGTATAAATATATATTTTTCTCTCTCTCTGCCTGTTCCTGACCCCCACATTTTCATTGCTTTACTTGTTTGAAGTGTACGTGCATATGAGATATTTATTTTAATTCACATTATCCTTCTGAGTGGGTATACAGGTGCATCTCAATAAATTAGAATGTCGTGGAAAAGTTCATTTATTTCAGTAATTCAACTCAAATTCTGAAACTCGTGTATTAAATAAATTCAATGCACACAGACTGAAGTAGTTTAAGTCTTTGGTTCTTTTAATTGTGATGATTTTGGCTCACATTTAACAAAAACCCACCAATTCACTATCTCAACAAATTAGAATGCCATGCCCTGCAGTGAATTAAATACACAATACTTATTGAAACTGAATGGAGTTGATATTTTATAGAATTTGGAGAGATGTTTCACAAGGTGTTTGTTTTTTCGGAGTGTCTATTTACACCAAGTGCAAATAGCCCGCCTTGTTGGCAGAGGCTATTTACACTAACTCCACCCACCAACGTGTGATTGGGCTAGTCAACATTACAAAAGATGGTCATTTTTTATTAAAAGTAATTTAATATTTTACTTTATCTAATAGTTTTTGTTTGCAATTATAACCTTTCTTCAATGTTCAAGACCTCAACTCCTCAGTTACTCATTTTTAGAACTTTCTCCATATGTCAAAAAGGTTTTAAAGAGGTAAAAAGAGAGCAAAGAGCAAAGGACCATCATCAACTGACAGTTAATTTAACAGCATCAAGAAGTCTAACCTGTGGGTTGATTTCTTGAGCAAGACTTCTAAGTTGACCGTGTTTCTTTCCTTTCAATCTCTTTTTCTCTTTCTCCTCTCTCAGGTCTCAGTCTCGTTCCCCCAGCCGCAGAGACAGACGAGCTCGCTCTTCAGACAGAAAGCGTGATGAGAGAGAGAAGGAGAGCTACGGCCCAAGCACCTACCGCCTTGGCAGCAACCCAGCACTGGGCAGGAAGCGTTCCAGATCAAGGTGGGGTGGCACTTAGGTCACATCAGGCTCAAAAAGACAAACAAAAAAAAAACTTTAGCAAGGATGCATTAAATTGAAATGTAACATTAAAGACATGTATAATGTTACATTTTGATTTTTTGATTTCAAATAAATACTGTTCTTTTGTACTTTCTATTCATGAAAAAATCCTGGGAAAAAAAAAAGTATCATGGTTTCCACGAAAATATTAAGGAGCACAACTGTTTTCAACATGGATAATACACTGATATAATAATAATAATAGTATAATAATAAGATTAACAATAATAAGAAATGTTTCTTGAGCACCAAATTAGAATATTAGCATGATTTCTGAAGGTCATGTGCCACTGAAGACTGGAGTAATGGCTGCTGAAAATTCAGTTTTGAAACAGAAGAATAAATTACAGTGTGACACATATTGAAATAGAAAACATTTTAAATTGTAATTATATTTAACAATATTCCTGTTTTTACTGTTTTTGGTCAAATAAAAGCAGCTCTTGTGAGCATAGGAGACTAAAATACATTTTAGAAAAATGTACCAACCACAAACTTTTGAACAGTAGTGTACATATACAAAAATATGGCCTATATATATTTTATTTTATTTATTTATTTATGTTTAATTTACAGTGGCACACTGCTGTGAATACCAAATATAATGACAGCAGGAAGAACATGTGTTTGTATTAATGGCAGCTGTGATATGGCCTCATTTGAAACCCTCTAGCTGTATATCATCACAAGGAGCAGTTTGGCTGATTGTCAGCATGCATGCTGCTGTTCACAGTGGGTAAAAAGTGCTTTCCTAGTGTTTCCTCAGAGTCTGCAGCAGGCATGATCTTTTCATTCACTGTAATCCTTCTATTGAAGAGTCCTGTGAGACTGCTATCATCACACTACCCTCTCTCTCATTTCCTCTACCTTCCCATTATTTTCTTACCGACACCTATATGGTGCTAAAGCACCACAGAAAGAGACGGTCATGGTGACTTCTCAGATCTCACCCGGCTTTTATGTCATTGGTTTTTATCTGAGCAGCCCACTCTCTCCAGTGCTCTTTAAAGCTTAGCTGAGACATTTCTTCATATTCTGCTGCCGAGGAGGTTGCAAAGACTTTTTACACATCTCCTACAAAAGATAAAAAGTTCAGCATCTTTCATTACACCCTCAAACCTTTCTGGTTTGAACTGAGGGAAGAATTGAGATGGAGAGATGGATGGTTGGATCACTTACAGGGTTTTAGTGAGGTTTGGTTTGTTAGAGTGATGACAGAAGCGTCTCAGATGCAGAACCTCGCTTACATGCAAAGCAGAGGAAGATTGAGTGCCTGTCTTGGACTAGGCAGCAGCTGTTGTCTTGGAAATATAGCATAACGGTTGGATTACTGAAGTAAAATATAATTTATTCTCTCCATAGGAAAATATATTTTTACAAAATATGTAGCCTAAATCTTTCAAGACAGACCAGCCACGAGCTCTGAGGTTAAGCGATGGTATGGGCTTCTGTAGAAACCATAAGTCACAGTGAGTCACTGCTTCACATTTAAAAAAAGAAATGTTTTATAGCCTAATTCTTTGTAATAACTACACTGATTCATCTCAGAGCTGAATGGCTTTGTTCTTTACTTAGAACTTTTATTAAAGTTTTCTTTTTTGTTTTTTAATCCGTTTTGAGAAAATTAATGTGGAAAAATACATTCGGAAGTCTCTGTTGATCTCCATACCGCTCTCCTGTCCAATAAGCTATAAGATAATCTTAATCATGCCAATCAGACAGGGTAAGTGAGAGGCCTCATGTGTTTCTGTCTTTTTGGATAAACTTAGATCTATTTTCCTGTACTGATTCAATTAGTCATAATAGTTTGTGCCTCGGGTGGAATTCCTGGCACGTCTGCAGCAGCGCATTTTTAACCTCATTGTGTCTCCTAGGACTGCTTTGATCCACTCTCCAAATATGTCTTGTCATTTTGCTACAGTGCCACAGGTAATTAGAGGTCACTATGCCCATTAACTGAAGTTGGGTGCTCCTTTATAAATGTATTTTTCCAACTAAAGGACATGCCTAAGGTATTCAAATAAAATATTCATAAAGGACAGCCTGGGAGATAAAGGCCCCTTGATATGGACTGTGTATGTGCTTTTTCTCTGAAGAGAGCGCACACGCTGTGACTGTTATGTGCGATTGGCCTATTCCAGTCACCTCGCTGATGCAGTGCTGGATCAGGGGTCTTGCTGAAGGGTCGTGTGCATGTTTTAAGACCCCACAGTGTTACCTCCTGTCAAACAGTAACTCTCACTTCACTGCTGTCTCCACAGAGCTGCAAAAATCAATGCTTGTTTAGCTCATAAAATAGTTAATGAAAAGTGAAATACTTTATATTTTGTATTATGTATTGTTATTCTAAACCTATGACTTTCCATCTTCTGTGTATCAAAGAAAGAAGAATTTTGTGAATGTCAATGAATTCAAAAGAATTTTTCCAATCCAACAAAAGCATATAGTGGCATCAAAAAAGCTTTTTGCAAAATTCCAGTATGTGTGCAATATTCCAAATCTTCTAAAGCTATACAATATACAATAACAATTTTATTTATATAGTAAATTTGATACAGAGTGGTAATTTACATAAAAGTTATTTAAAAAAATAGTAAACATAAAAAGGTTCGAAGAAATAATTGCATAAATAATTGAAGAAAATAATAGACTTATTTAAAAATGAAGGCAGACATGCTGGTATTAACCTAAAATGTTCCCCTCTCAAATTGTATTTGTCTTTTGATGCAGAACATACATTAAATACAAATGAATGGCATTGGTTCTTGTAACAAACAATGCAGCAGAATATGTTTGTTTTGAGCTGATCTAGTAGTTTAGTAACTTTTTTTAATATCTCTTTACAGTTCACCTCATGAAAAGAAGAAAAAGAAGGGTTCAAAGTCATCGCACCAATTTAAGGGTTCCTCCTGTTCGCCCTCGGCATCCCCTGACAGAGGCGGAGCCATGGCCAGAGTCTCTGCAAGCCCCTCCCCTGCCACAAGCCCCGCCTCCAGCCTGGGGAGGTCCAGGTAAAGGGCATCTCGCTCTGGTCCCATTACTAAACAATCAGTCAGCGTGAAGCTTTTTGATTTGGAAGTTATAATGGTTTTATATATGATTTGACAACTTGACTAATTAGCTGTTGAACAAAGCATGAAAGCTGAATTTTACAAGATTTTTGTATATTATGGAGAGGTTTTGATTCAAAAACCTGAGAAAGCACCACACTGCAAAGGGTTATTGGGTACAGGGACTGACTTTTTTCATACAACTTCTTAAGTTTCATCAAAAAGTTGCTCTAAACTCCCTCGGCCTTCAGTTGTTTTTGCTGCTTCTTCTTTACCTCCCACTGTGTGTCTCTCTAGACTTTGTTATATTTGTGCCATTTTTGTGTCTCCTCCGGCATTGGGTGAATATTTCATGGCCTTCTTCTGGTCGCTCAGTTTCAGCCTGAGATGTCTGCGGTGGTTACGTAGTCACCAGTCGTCATGAATACTGTATTAAGGTGTTTTTCACAAACCGTGCCAATTGGCAGACCTCTTTCTGTCTGTCACTGTCTCACTCTCTCTTTTTTTTTTTTTGTTAAACAGGGATGGCTCTCAGGAGAAAGACAAGCAAGTGTCCTCCACTATTGTCTCTTCGGTCCAAAGCAAAATCACTCAGGTATGTCGTTAAGAAATTATTAACTTCCATATAGCAACAAAGCTTTTGTGTAAACTAGGGCTTTCACTTGATTAAAATGGGTAAATTAATTAATTACAGTATGTCCCCTAATTAAATTTAATCACAATTTTATGTATATCGGTATTTGCAGAGAAATATCATCAAATGAAAATATGAATGAAGACATTGCATTTTTTATTTATATTTTATTTATTCACTCTTTATTATATAGGACACTAGAGATTTATAAGGACTACTTTCTGTGCCACACTTTGACCAAAAACATTTATGGTTTTTCTATGTAAAAATTCTAGACAGCCATAATTGACCAGTGTGTCATAATTTATATAATATATAATATAATATATGGGCCCATAAACCCTCAAACTTCAGGGATTTTTTTTAACGTTTTTTCCCAAAAAAATGTTCAAAACAGACTTTTGTGCCTTGACAAACTTTGATTTTCTAGTTAAAAATTATATGTATATGAATTTCAGTTCATTTTAATTCTACTTCTTCAACATGGATAATACACTGATATAATAATAATAATAGTATAATAATAAGATTAACAATAATAAGAAATGTTTCTTGAGCACCAAATTAGAATATTAGCATGATTTCTGAAGGTCATGTGCCACTGAAGACTGGAGTAATGGCTGCTGAAAATTCAGTTTTGAAACAGAAGAATAAATTACAGTGTGACACATATTGAAATAGAAAACAGTTATTTTAAATTGTAATTATATTTAACAATATTCCTGTTTTTACTGTTTTTGGTCAAATAAAAGCAGCTCTTGTGAGCATAGGAGACTAAAATACATTTTAGAAAAATGTACCAACCACAAACTTTTGAACAGTAGTGTACATATACAAAAATATGGCCTATATATATTTTATTTTATTTATTTATTTATTTATGTTTAATTTACAGTGGCACACTGCTGTGAATACCAAATATAATGACAGCAGGAAGAACATGTGTTTGTATTAATGGCAGCTGTGATATGGCCTCATTTGAAACCCTCTAGCTGTATATCATCACAAGGAGCAGTTTGGCTGATTGTCAGCATGCATGCTGCTGTTCACAGTGGGTAAAAAGTGCTTTCCTAGTGTTTCCTCAGAGTCTGCAGCAGGCATGATCTTTTCATTCACTGTAATCCTTCTATTGAAGAGTCCTGTGAGACTGCTATCATCACACTACCCTCTCTCTCATTTCCTCTACCTTCCCATTATTTTCTTACCGACACCTATATGGTGCTAAAGCACCACAGAAAGAGACGGTCATGGTGACTTCTCAGATCTCACCCGGCTTTTATGTCATTGGTTTTTATCTGAGCAGCCCACTCTCTCCAGTGCTCTTTAAAGCTTAGCTGAGACATTTCTTCATATTCTGCTGCCGAGGAGGTTGCAAAGACTTTTTACACATCTCCTACAAAAGATAAAAAGTTCAGCATCTTTCATTACACCCTCAAACCTTTCTGGTTTGAACTGAGGGAAGAATTGAGATGGAGAGATGGATGGTTGGATCACTTACAGGGTTTTAGTGAGGTTTGGTTTGTTAGAGTGATGACAGAAGCGTCTCAGATGCAGAACCTCGCTTACATGCAAAGCAGAGGAAGATTGAGTGCCTGTCTTGGACTAGGCAGCAGCTGTTGTCTTGGAAATATAGCATAACGGTTGGATTACTGAAGTAAAATATAATTTATTCTCTCCATAGGAAAATATATTTTTACAAAATATGTAGCCTAAATCTTTCAAGACAGACCAGCCACGAGCTCTGAGGTTAAGCGATGGTATGGGCTTCTGTAGAAACCATAAGTCACAGTGAGTCACTGCTTCACATTTAAAAAAAGAAATGTTTTATAGCCTAATTCTTTGTAATAACTACACTGATTCATCTCAGAGCTGAATGGCTTTGTTCTTTACTTAGAACTTTTATTAAAGTTTTCTTTTTTGTTTTTTAATCCGTTTTGAGAAAATTAATGTGGAAAAATACATTCGGAAGTCTCTGTTGATCTCCATACCGCTCTCCTGTCCAATAAGCTATAAGATAATCTTAATCATGCCAATCAGACAGGGTAAGTGAGAGGCCTCATGTGTTTCTGTCTTTTTGGATAAACTTAGATCTATTTTCCTGTACTGATTCAATTAGTCATAATAGTTTGTGCCTCGGGTGGAATTCCTGGCACGTCTGCAGCAGCGCATTTTTAACCTCATTGTGTCTCCTAGGACTGCTTTGATCCACTCTCCAAATATGTCTTGTCATTTTGCTACAGTGCCACAGGTAATTAGAGGTCACTATGCCCATTAACTGAAGTTGGGTGCTCCTTTATAAATGTATTTTTCCAACTAAAGGACATGCCTAAGGTATTCAAATAAAATATTCATAAAGGACAGCCTGGGAGATAAAGGCCCCTTGATATGGACTGTGTATGTGCTTTTTCTCTGGAGAGAGCGCACACGCTGTGACTGTTATGTGCGATTGGCCTATTCCAGTCACCTCGCTGATGCAGTGCTGGATCAGGGGTCTTGCTGAAGGGTCGTGTGCATGTTTTAAGACCCCACAGTGTTACCTCCTGTCAAACAGTAACTCTCACTTCACTGCTGTCTCCACAGAGCTGCAAAAATCAATGCTTGTTTAGCTCATAAAATAGTTAATGAAAAGTGAAATACTTTATATTTTGTATTATGTATTGTTATTCTAAACCTATGACTTTCCATCTTCTGTGTATCAAAGAAAGAAGAATTTTGTGAATGTCAATGAATTCAAAAGAATTTTTCCAATCCAACAAAAGCATATAGTGGCATCAAAAAAGCTTTTTGCAAAATTCCAGTATGTGTGCAATATTCCAAATCTTCTAAAGCTATACAATATACAATAACAATTTTATTTATATAGTAAATTTGATACAGAGTGGTAATTTACATAAAAGTTATTTAAAAAAATAGTAAACATAAAAAGGTTCGAAGAAATAATTGCATAAATAATTGAAGAAAATAATAGACTTATTTAAAAATGAAGGCAGACATGCTGGTATTAACCTAAAATGTTCCCCTCTCAAATTGTATTTGTCTTTTGATGCAGAATATACATTAAATACAAATGAATGGCAGTGGTTCTTGTAACAAACAATGCAGCAGAATATGTTTGTTTTGAGCTGATCTAGTAGTTTAGTAACTTTTTTTAATATCTCTTTACAGTTCACCTCATGAAAAGAAGAAAAAGAAGGGTTCAAAGTCATCGCACCAATTTAAGGGCTCCTCCTGTTCGCCCTCGGCATCCCCTGACAGAGGCGGAGCCATGGCCAGAGTCTCTGCAAGCCCCTCCCCTGCCACAAGCCCCGCCTCCAGCCTGGGGAGGTCCAGGTAAAGGGCATCTCGCTCTGGTCCCATTACTAAACAATCAGTCAGCGTGAAGCTTTTTGATTTGGAAGTTATAATGGTTTTATATATGATTTGACAACTTGACTAATTAGCTGTTGAACAAAGCATGAAAGCTGAATTTTACAAGATTTTTGTATATTATGGAGAGGTTTTGATTCAAAAACCTGAGAAAGCACCACACTGCAAAGGGTTATTGGGTACAGGGACTGACTTTTTTCATACAACTTCTTAAGTTTCATCAAAAAGTTGCTCTAAACTCCCTCGGCCTTCAGTTGTTTTTGCTGCTTCTTCTTTACCTCCCACTGTGTGTCTCTCTAGACTTTGTTATATTTGTGCCATTTTTGTGTCTCCTCCGGCATTGGGTGAATATTTCATGGCCTTCTTCTGGTCGCTCAGTTTCAGCCTGAGATGTCTGCGGTGGTTACGTAGTCACCAGTCGTCATGAATACTGTATTAAGGTGTTTTTCACAAACCGTGCCAATTGGCAGACCTCTTTCTGTCTGTCACTGTCTCACTCTCTCTTTTTTTTTTTTTGTTAAACAGGGATGGCTCTCAGGAGAAAGACAAGCAAGTGTCCTCCACTATTGTCTCTTCGGTCCAAAGCAAAATCACTCAGGTATGTCGTTAAGAAATTATTAACTTCCATATAGCAACAAAGCTTTTGTGTAAACTAGGGCTTTCACTTGATTAAAATGGGTAAATTAATTAATTACAGTATGTCCCCTAATTAAATTTAATCACAATTTTATGTATATCGGTATTTGCAGAGAAATATCATCAAATGAAAATATGAATGAAGACATTGCATTTTTTATTTATATTTTATTTATTCACTCTTTATTATATAGGACACTAGAGATTTATAAGGACTACTTTCTGTGCCACACTTTGACCAAAAACATTTATGGTTTTTCTATGTAAAAATTCTAGACAGCCATAATTGACCAGTGTGTCATAATTTATATAATATATAATATAATATATGGGCCCATAAACCCTCAAACTTCAGGGATTTTTTTTAACGTTTTTTCCCAAAAAAATGTTCAAAACAGACTTTTGTGCCTTGACAAACTTTGATTTTCTAGTTAAAAATTATATGTATATGAATTTCAGTTCATTTTAATTCTACTTCTTTAAATTCCTATTTTAATTGGAATTCTACATCAGCATTAAAGCATATTTTTATTTAATTTTTTCTTTTGATAATATAGGACTGAAGGTTTATCAGAACCTGTTTTTTCTATGTAAAAGTGCTAGACAGCTGTAATTGACCATTATGTCATATCTTGCTGCTTTTTCAGTGTCTCGCCGTATTGAAAGTTAAAATAATTTTGTTATTTTTAAGAACGTGTTTTGACATCCTGCATTCTTTTTCATTCTTTGGTGCAGCAAAGTTCCGTTTTAATGCAACATGTTCTATGCAAATGCCCACTTGGACTGATGTTTTCAAATGAAGTTTTGATTTAATTTTGTACATTAAGCAGTTTCGGGCTGAATTCATTTGTAAGGTTGAGGGTTTAGAATAAACTAGTGCTGTCAAACGATTAATCGTATACAAAATAAAAGTTTTTGTTTGCATAATATATGTGTGTGTTCTGTCTACAGTATATTTATTATGTATATATAAATACACACATACAGTATATATTTTGAAAATATTTACATGTATTTACATGTATATATTTATATTCATAATTTATATTATAAATATATTTAATATATAAACATAACATATTTTTCTGAAATATTTACATGCATGTGTGTGTATTTATATATACATAA